TGTTGTTTGGCGGGTCCGGGCTGGGGATTCGAACCCGCCACCTTAGGTGTACGTGGCTGGCGCCTTAGCCGGTTGAGCTATAGGCGCCGAGCCGGAATGCAAATTTTTTTACTAAACATGATTCTCTTACCATGATTCAAAGGAATTGAAAAATTATGTCCACAAAAACTTGCACACTGATGTTTATTTATAGCAGCTTTGTTCATAATTGCCAAAATTTGGATTAATGCAAAGTTATTTTCAACATTCTCAAAAGCTAAATTTGGAAGCAGCTAAGATACCCTTCAGTAGGTACCACTGTTTTGTTTTTTAATTTATTTAATTGAACTTGGGAAATGTGTAGTCGTTATTTCTTCAGCTGTTCTTTCTGTGTCTAATTCTCCTCTCCCTATTGGATCTCCACTCGCGTTGGCACAGTTGATAGTCGGCACACCGCAGGTCTCTTAGACTCTGTTCATATTTCTTGTTCTTTCTTATTTATGTTCCTCAGGGATCGTTTTGACTGGTTGCTTTTTTTCCTTCTATGTGTAGATTATCCTTTCTTGTTTCTTTGTATGCTTTGTCATTTTTTTGTTGAAAATGGACATTTTGAATATTACAGGGGGATGGGTCTAGAAATGAGATTTTTTTCTTTGTTTGTTATAGTTGCTGCTGGATGTGTTTTAGTGAGGTTTACTCTGCTCCCACCTAGATGTACACCTGGAATGCAGACTTATTTCCAAGGCTACTACTGAGTAGCACAGCAGCAGGAGATGGCAACAGGGCAGGTGACGATGGGAGAGGCTCACTCACTGTTCCGAGTTGCACTCATAGTATCGAAAGGGTGCTCCTGTGTTGCTACAAGCTTTGGTTAGACTTGACGATGTGCTAACAATTTTGATTTTGACAGTTTTCTGCCTGTTTTTCTGACTGCTTTTGGGGAGCGATGGGCTTTTAGAGTTTCTTACTTTGCCATTTTCACTCCTTGCTTTATTCTTTCTGTCTAAATTCTTGAAGTATTTTCTTTGAAGTTTAAGAACTTAATTCAAATGAGTTTGAGTATCTTATATTAATTTTTCTAAAACATAGTGTGTTGTTTCATTGTTGCACAATTGTAATATAGTTGTATGTTGTCATAGTTGTTTCTTTTTTTTTTGAGACAGAGCCTCAAGCTGTCCCCCTGGGTAGAGCGCCGTGGCATTATAGCTCACAGCAACCTCCAACTCCTGGGCTCAAGCGAGTCTC